GTGACCCCTGGGCTTGGGTGGTACCTGGAGAGGAGGCTGAAGGACCTCAGATGGAACCCTGCCCCTCCCCACCCTGCGCAGGCCGCATGTATCTGTTCTATGGCAACAAGACATCTGTGCAGTTCCAGAACTTCTCGCCCACTGTCGTCCACCCCGGCGACCTCCAGACTCATATCCTTCCGGCCTGGCCCAGCCCCCTCCCCTGAGCCTGGCCCCTCCAGGCCTGCCTTCCTGGCCACTGGGAAGCAGATGGACCCAGGTCCAGAGCCCTGTTCGGTCGTCTTACTTGAAAGCCTAAGCACCTGGTTACTTTGAGGCTTAGTGTCTGTGATACCGGGGCGGGCCTCTTCTCCCCAGGACAGCCTGCAGACAGGGAAGCGATGGGATAGGTATGCCTCAGCTTGTCTCTGTCAGGCCTCTTTGACCATGTCCTCCAAGGAGCTCCACACCCATGATTCCAGTACCTCCTGTGCCCAAGGGCCAGGCCTGGGGGTCTCGATGCTGACCAGAGCCCTCTTGTGTCACCTGAGCCCGTCACTTTGCCTCTGTGAGCCTTCCTGTCCCCTTCTCATAGTGTTGTTTTGAAGATCGGTGTTGTTGGAAAACTCTGGAAGGGTGGCTGGCATAAAGGAAAGGGTCAGTCCCCTCTCCTTTCTCTGATAGTGGTTTTCACGCCCATGAAACTACAGGGGTTAGACCCCAAAGCTATGAGGACCTTTTCAGTCCGTTGCCTCATGCATCGATGTTTCCAGAGAACTCCCGTAGGCTCAGCTCTGTGCTGGGCATGGGGGGAGGGGAAGGGCGAGAGACGCGTAAGACCCCATCCTTGCCAACTTGAAGGGAGACGTGGTAACGCTGCCGGTTTTTTGTGCACCTACCATGTGCCAGACACACTGATAAGTGCTTGTCCTGGATTATTTCATTGAATGCTGAGGACACTGCCCATTTTGCAGATGAGGCTTAGGAGGTAAAGTTGCTTGCCCATAGTCACTGAGGTGGTAAGATCCAGGATTCAAACTCAGGTCAGCCATCACAGCCCCGGAAGGGCTTCCACCCCGGTAGGGTGCGACATGCCATAATGGAGGTCGCTGAGCCCATGGTAGAAAGCCAGAGTAGGCACCCAGGCGGTGGTCGAAGGTCTCACTTAGGAGGGACTTTGGGCCTTGTGGTATGAGTCCTGGATGGCGGGACCAGCTCCTCAGAGGCCTGCAGGCTGGGGCCGCGGGGAAAGTTCAGAACCATCAGGGGTTCATGGCCACGACCGCCGGGGCCGCCGCCTCTTTCCGGCTTCCTTGACTACAGGCGGGCACAGCTGGCGGTGCAAACCAAGCGCGTGGCCGCGCAGGTGGACGGCGGGGCGCAGGTGCAGCAGGTGCTCAACATCGAGTGTCTGCGGGACTTCCTGACGCCCCCGCTCCTATCCGTGCGCTTCCGGTGAGTCTGAGTCTGGCAGGGCACTGCCGAGCAAGCGGGCACCGTCTCCTGGATGGGGGCGGGGCCTGACGGAGCCCTCCTTGCGACCCCTCCCTCTAGGTACGGGGGCGCCCCCCAGTCCCTCACCCTGAAGCTCCCCGTGACCATCAACAAGTTCTTCCAGCCCACAGAGATGGCGGCCCAGGACTTCTTCCAGCGCTGGAAGCAGCTGAGCCTGTGAGCAGCGGGGGGCGGAGCCACAGCCACATCTGGGGAGGGGGTGGGGCCTTGACTTGACCTGACTTGACTTTGAACTGACCTGACTTGAACTTCCTTCCCCCCACCCATCCCCAGCCCCCAACAGGAGGCTCAGAAAATCTTCAAAGCCAACCACCCCATGGATGCAGAAGTCACTAAGGCAAAAGTGAGTGACAACTGAGCAAGACAGGAGAGGGGCCCCTAATTCGGATCTGGGGAACCGTGCCCATTTTTCTGTGCCTCTGTTTCCCCCTCTGTAAAGCGGGGCCGGTTCCCACTGGCAAGGGTTTTGGGGAACTGGCTCACTACGGCCTGGTTGCTGCCGGATCGGCACCCTCTGATGGCTCCCCTTGTCT